ACATTTTATAAGTTTGTTTTAATATTACCAAACTGGCCTCCGAGAAATTTACCAAATTGATACCCATTGTAAAAGGTCATTTCTTATATACTTATATTTATTTATAGTCGGTCTAAAATCTTTCTTAACAACCAGTTCTATTTTGAAGATTAAATTTCAATTAATATAAAAAATTATAAAGATTTTAAGGGATTGATGCGTTATACATAAAAAGAATGCTTGACCGCTGGTCAATGGTGGGTCAACTTCGACAATTAATGATTGAAACAGTAATAATTTAAATTCTAGATTTATCAATCAACAATCTTTACCTTGAATAAAAATGTTGCCATACCAATATCCTTAGTAGATATAATATTCGTGGAAAACTTATTACATCAGTAACACCTGTGTCTAAATTCATGGTATGCAACACCACATCGTATCACGAATACGGTTTCGACATGTTCTTATTAACCCGTATTAAACTAAACCCACTACACTAGTAAATATTCCAATGTAAGGTTTTATTTCTCTCGGCTTCGACAAAAATCTTACTCAATTCTGTACCGTAGGCTACATTATCATTAAAATATGCAATGACACGCTGCTTTCGTTTTGTTTACGTTCGCAAACTAAGTGAAGTAAAGTAAAATCATTTGTATACATTCCAATGGTTTACTATCCAAAGTGCCCCACTTCACATGCATACCATATAACAGACACTACCAATGATTGAAAATGAAGACGCTAGCTCAAGATGCTTAGGTGCAGCGATTCGGGTCTAGAAAGAAGGGAACCGAGTGATTTTCGACTCTGAGAAGCAGCTCGAACATGTTTTCCATTTGAAAAAACAATAAACAATAAGATAAATATATTATAAATTACTTAATCTTACCAGATTTTTCCAAAATATTATTGGATTGGGGTAGAGCACTGGCAAGTTTTAAGGATCCAGTCCATAACATGACAACTGCCATCAACAGATTAGCATTAAACATCATATTGGCTCGATTATTGAGCTTTTTGGATGGCTGTGATTTAAGTGGGTCTATATAGAAGATCGGTGAAAACGTGGGTTGATATATTTTATTGAACGGAAAGAGAAAACATGCTATTTAATATTTTATAAATGGATTGTGTCCTGGTATATTGACTGTTGAATATTTATATCACGCTGTTAAAATTATCTAGTTCATCGATTGAAACAGAAGACCTTATTATTTTGAACTGAAGATTGTAATTGCGGCTATTTGATTGATTGTTCGTTAGAAACAACAGCCATTCAGAGCCCTCGACAGAAAATATGTAAACAGTAAGCCCATAACTTAACCAGTCTGTCGGGGAGTGTCTGTAGCTGCTGACGTACAATCCAATCAAATCGTTGCATTACGTGATACAAGACAGGTGGCTATTTCTAGTGGTACTAGCTTGATATTGTGAAGATTGTTCATTATTTGCCTATAAGTTCAAAAGAAGTGTTGACAGAGGGTTGAATATTTCATACAGGTGATTGTTACTGTACTGCCG